ACAGATTCTCGCTTTCTTTTGGGTTTGTGCGCCTAATTGAAAATTTTGGAAGTTGCAAGAGACCATGTCACACACGCGTTTTTCCGAAAAATGTTGAAAAAAGTAGAAGCCAGTTCTACTTTTCTCTCAACAAAAAAATGAAATGTTCAAGTTGCATGAGGGGGTGTCACACGTAAAAAAACGCTCGTGCAACTTCAACATTTTTTTGCGCGACACAAGTTGCACGAAAAAAACGCCAGTGTGACACGGCCTTTAGTACTTTTCACAGGTCTCCAGTTTGGGTCTTANGAAAAATTGAAAACAAGTTTAAAGTCATATTTTGAGTCTTATTTGGACGAACGAAACTCGTCGAAGTCAGTAGTAGCCCTGACTTGCCAAGCAGACTTCAAAACCTACTTCATGTTTACTTGTGAAAGAAAGCGTACTAGTAGTAGACATTCTCAATCAAAAAGTAGCTGAAAAACTCAAACACAGAAACATTTCATAAATTCATCCCATAACTTGTTCTGGCATGGAATATTCAAGAAAAAATGACAAGCGAAACAGCTTTAGTTTTCTGCAAGAAACGGCGTGCAAGAAACGGCGAAGGCCGCTCAATTTTTGTTTACGTAGATGAACTGATCTTGACAAACTTTAAAATGTATTACACTACCATGCAGGTATTTAATAAATAGTATTTTAATAATTAATTGTGACGTTATATTTATGAGTTTTGGGGTATTTTTTCGTTTGAAAACGTTGCTTTTATCGAGTTAAACTTAACTAACTTAAATGTGTTTTTGTTTTTGCTACTTAATTTGCAAAAAATAAAAATATTTTGCTTCTTGAAATCTAGAGAAAGTGAATAGACAAGTTGTTGGGAACTAAAACAATTAGATAATAACTTTTGCCAGGGTTTTACACGGATTTTGTGAGTAAATTGTTGAAATAACGCAAGTGTTTTTAAGGTAGCTTATCGGGGCGTTGAATTCAGGTTTCTCAGCGTTGAATTCAGGTTTCTCACCGTTGAATTCCACTTGAAATACCCTCTCATCCGGTTGACGTGTTGACCAATCAACGCACGACTTTAAAATTGAGGTATGAGATTCTAATTAAAACAACTGATGTAGTACGTAGCTCCAGCATTGTAACCCCAATTCGAAAACACACTCCAAAACTTGTAAACATAAAGCAAGACTGCTTTAAACCAATAAATCGAAAATAGAAACATTGGTCTTATTAATTCATTTACCTTCTAAAAGTCTATGTTGTGTTTCAAGGCAACCAAAGGCGGATCTAGGTAGCAGGGGTTGGCAAGACACTCCACCTTTAAGGGTTCAGAAATGTAAAAATGCTGATATAAGTAAATGAAAGAATAATCTGAATGGAACTCATTCTCCTCTCCCTAAAAAAAATCAACATCAACAACAAAAGGAACAAAGCAAATAATAAACGAAAACGAAAACAGAAAAAAAACTAAAAACAACAAGAACAAAAGAAAAACACAAACAAATAAAACATCATTCAACTGAAAGAGTTTACATCTTTCAAGCTCGAAACCTATTTTTCTGGAGTTAACCACCCCACAATGCTTCAGGATCCGCCACTGATGACTATTTATGTGTTTGTTTGTGTCATGCGTACATTTAGGAAAACATAGTATGAACCAGCAATGTTCGATATCTATTATTTCGAAACTTCTGAACTCGTCCTAACTATTACTGAACATGATAAAAAAAACAATGTTCAAAGCACATTAAAGACATYATACRAAATATRATGGAAACTATGGCMTTTCAGGYAATGAAAAAAAATTGACTTTTAGCCGTCGKTCAGATGCAACTGACGGACAAACCGGCAGTCAAAATTTCAAAGACCGCATTTCGTATAAAATTATATGTTTGATGGCAATTTTCCTCAAAATGTTTGAATTGTTTGCGCACAATATAGCGTATGCAAGATAGGATCAGATAAAATACCCCCAACCTTTCCGGCATTGATTAAACTCATTGTGCTTYTCTTCTAGTTATCAGTATTCAAAGCACCATAGTTGAAAATGAGAATGAACATATGTTCAAAGTGATGAATATCACAATAATGGSAACAAACTGTAGAATGAAAAAACTTTTCAACTTTCACGAGTTGGAAAAGGTACCGTTATATAATTCTTTGTATGGTATAATCTTTACCGTTCSCGTAAATTAGTTACCATTTGAATCTTCCTTGACGTTCAGTGAAACTAAAGATAAATAGTGTTTAAATTCTCAGAGAAGATACGACTTTAAACAAGACATGTTTAGCTTTTATAAATCCATCTTCAGTTCATGTTTGAAGTTATTAAGTGTTATAAGGTTATGTTAAGAGTTATGTTTTTTCTTATCATTTGTGCTATTTCGAMCATTTCAAAGATAATAGCTTTGACCCTTTTTATATGAAGTATATCATATCAGAGTGGACGCACTCTGAAAACAATAGTACTAATAACTACTAAATAGTGCTTATTAGACAACAGGGAACAAAAGAATTAGCAGAATTCGGCACCTAGTGTCTGCGTTTTTTTTTGATTAAAGTCTAAAAAGCATGAAAAAGACATTACACAAAATTCTATGARAAGTAAACGTAGTTGTCTTTCAGTAGTAATTATAGAGAAATATAATGCAAGTGTAYACTAACTACTGCAAATGTTACACAACCAGACGAAGCTGGATATCGCGATGTCGGCGACGGACTAAGTCTAAAGATTTTATAACATTTGCAGTAGTGTATGACAACTATTAGTGAATTATTTGAACATTTTAACATACCTTTTGATGTAAGTTGGTGTTCATTTCACCTTGTTATGATTGATAAACGAATGAGAGAATTTATTATTTCAATTTTCTACGTCATAGAATATCATTATTTCTTATCACCCGTTATCAAACTCATTAATAATTCATAATGCCATTAGCCAATGATATACTGAGAATCTAATCACTTGATTATACCTTTATATTGGATAAAAGGTGCAGCAAGCTCAAAGTTGGGGGCGGAGTGATACAGAACTAATGTTTTATTAATTAGGTCTGTATCAGGAAAACGTTGAATGATAATCAGCCCCGCACTCCCCTGAAAATATTCAAAATGTCTAAACTCGCGTGCAATCAAACACAATTAAAACACACTGAAAAATCAATATTGTAGCAATGCCGTTTCGTTTCCTCGCGATTTACTCGATCGTCGGATAAGCTTCTCTGTTTTTCTTGGCGCCTCGTCTTGTATGAATGTGACCATCCAAAAAATCAACGACTCGGTGTTCATGTCATCAAGACCAGCGTCAGCATATCCTGGAATAACTCGCTGTTTTTGAAACTGAAACTGGTGCTCCCATTTATGGCTTTCTTGTTCGTACGGTCTTTTTGCCGGTCGCAAAATAAGGTTTCGGACCATTTTTTTGAATACTTTGTGGAAAACTCCCCCGAACAATAGCGCTTTCCTTTATGTTGAGTTTTAGGTCTGCTTCGAGGGAGAAATGGAAGCCAACTGATTCAGAATTTTTGCTAACTATGAATRCCTAAYTATCTTGCAATTCCTTTGACAATTCTAATTTTCTATAGTTTGGCAAGCACATTCTTTAAAAAAAAACAATAGGAAAATAAACAATTTTCAGGGGTAAGTATAAAAAGCTTCTAATGTGACAATTCCACTTTCAATTAATCATTTAGAAATTCCCTTGATAGTTCAGTCGTTTCATGAAGGCGCCATACAAACAGTTATATTTGACGCCGGAATATTTAATAACGGCGACATACGTTGATAATTTTAATCGATGAAATGCAGCAAGATATTAAATTTTTCAAAAACATTAAAATGAGAATTATTATAAAGTTTGATAAGCCGTATACAGAACTCGAGAGCGTGTTGTATCGGGGCTAAAGAACTTCGCCTTCGGCTCGGATCTTTATCACCCGATACAACACGCTCTCTCGTTCTGTATACATTACTTAAAATGATAGCCGTGAAAAAGACCATCATGCACAAAACGTTATATCGTCGTAACCTAGATTTCTGATATTTTTAAAAAACTGTTGTTGTGTTGGTTGGAGAATACATGGCCGAAAATTACTAGGCTTGTCTTTTGATCAGTTATAGCAATATTCGCCATCACGGCGGCTTAATTCGCATCTTTAATGAAGCTTCAAAACAATTTAAAATAAAAGCTATACTCGAATACACTGTGTAAAAACACTCCCAAGATATTTGAAAAGCTTAGCAAGAAAGAATATTGCATCTTACATTTGTGAAAATTATATTTTTCTATCAAGAGGAGCCAATCTCTGAAAAAGTCACATTGTAATTCCCGCTCTACACTAATATACTAAAGTCAACTAGACGCTTTAGCAGCGTGAAGTCGGGCTGGCTAGTATAGTGCATAATGTAAAATAAAGGATTAGTAGGCGGGASGGAAAATCATGATAGATGTTGTAGTGTGGCTTGTATAAAAAATACGCAGTCGAGGACTGMATGTGGCTCAAGCAAAATACAAATGAAAAGCAAATTCATTTTTTTATAATAATTTTAATTTATTCGATCGAAAGGAAAAAAGGGAAAAAATATTATTATATATCAAAATTACAAAAACAAATCGTAAATTGGGATTCATGGGATGACATAATACTCCAACCAGCAAGAAATTTTGTCATTTAATATCAATTCTAGAGTATACACCTAATTGAAGAATGTTTGTCGGGCCCAAAAAGGTCAAATCATAGAAGCTAAGACCGAAAGGGTACTTGGGAAGACAAACAATTTGGCTAATTTCATAACAAACAGCTCTCCAGCATAAAAGGCTATCATGCTGTTAATCTTACTAGATCTACCTGCTTTACGGTACACCCAGTTTAGTGGTACTCAAAATCCCTTTCGGTCTTAGCTTCAACATGATGTGACCTTTTCGAACACGACTACGTTTTTTCAATTAGGTGTATAATAATAGATATAACAACAAGCAAAATTTCGTTTAAGAAACAATATCAATCAAATAAAAACATAAAATTTTTATTTGAATATACATAAATAATTTTGACATGTACACAACTCAAATAAATATCYTTCGCATCTCCCACGGAAGTAACAACACTCAAAAACTACATTAAAAAAAGAAACAAGATTTTATAGGCAAAACTGTAACTTAAAAACCCTAAAGTATCTTCTTTACTTATACAGTCAACTCTCGCTATTACGGACACCCTCGGGACCGWAACTTAGTGTCCGCAGTAGCGAGAGTCCGCATCAACGAGGGTTACTTTCAGTCATTTCTCGTTATTTTCCACAATATCGAGGTGTYCGTTGTAGCGGGTGTCCGCAGGCGAGAGTTGACTGTATATAATTGAAATTGTTCTTTCGTTTGGAGATTATAGTAACACAAACGTGGCCACATTGCCACAGAAAGTCGGCAAAGCATTCTGGTATTTGTAATATATGAGCTTTACGATCATTTCGACACTCAAACGACAACCAAACAAAATACAAAAAAAAAAAAACCACCTAGAAACAACCTAAACCAGCTAACTAATTCCGACTTCCGTACGAGCGGCCTTTACGCTTGAATAGCGCTGTCTAGTGAATAAAATCCATACTAAATTCAGTGACTGTATAACTCACCCTTCGTACTAGGTGCACCTAGTTCAGTCGGGAGACTAAGGGGCTGATTATATGAAGTGAGCTAGCCCGTTTGACCGGACTAATTTTCTTTTTTTGGTCCCGTAGGAAGAAAATTGGGCGTTTAACCGGACCATCCCGCTTCATATAGACAGGACCTAAGACTCCCATCAGCAGCTTGTGTCTGAGTCTACACTAAACTTAAAACTAGTGGTATTCCACTAATTATTATAATTATGAATATTGACTATTGAATATGAATGGTGGGGATTGGCGCAACAAGAAGTTCTTTTGATTTGCTTTAATTCTTATTTTAGAGCGTGTAAAGAGGCTCTTTGATTTCTGATAATTGCATGCCATGACTTTAGGCAAACAGAGAACACTGTACAATTGACTTAGATGTTTGAACCAAGAGACGCTGATAAAGGGTTTAGCACATTGTTATTAGTTATTTTCACTCAGGTACTAAATAGAATTGGTTCAGTGGCTTCTTCCACAACAATTATTTATGAATTTCACGAGAAACAAATGTGACTTCATTGAGCCCGTTAACGTTTCAAATGATAGGGCTGACGCAGTTAATCCATGACGTCATATGGTACAAAATGGTAACAACTTAGTGCTAATTCCTTTATTTTCAGTTCAWTTATAACAATCGACTTATATGCAGGCTACTGGCTACTTCAAATCATCATATAAAATGTGCTATGCGAAATCACTCTTGTAAAATTGGTATTATTAGTTTGACGGTCATAAACAATAGTGACTTTACCTTGGACTTGTTTGATTTCGTTCTTTTTGTTGTGGCTAAACTCAGTAGCTTAAAAATACCGGCCGACCAGCCCCTCTCAAATAAATACGAATTTTCAATTAAAGAAGCGTAATTCGAACAGAAATTCAAGGTATAGAAAAGCTAATTAAATTTGTACAGTTCCGATACAGGCCCTATTATCGACCCCAATGAGACATTTTTACAAAAAAAAACTATATTTATAAAAAATATGTAGTAATATTTATATGAAATATGGGATATATATTATTTTTATATGAAACCTTAACAAATAAATTTCGAATGTAAAAAGAGTGAAAATAGTAAAATGTAAAATGACGGTTCTCTATAAAAAGGTGCAAACATCCTTGATTATGCACATTGTATGTTTACGGACCTATCAATGTAATATTGTAAAGTAAATCTGATTGAGCAATATGTTAGTGTTACGTAGGTGTATGGTTTTATCAATGATAGAAAACAAGGATCGTAAGAATAAAGATAGCGGTTTAGTACCTAATTGCCTAATTTGGAGAATACGGTGAACGTTAATGAACTAGCGTATAATCTTCATGTGTCTGTACATAGAGTGAGGCTCGTCGCATTTTCCATTRATGAAAGAAATGTCATCTAGTGCGATGTCCCCCGTGTAGCCGTTTCCTCGAACACCCTCAAACATCACCTGTACATGAAATAGTTAAATGTTATGTACTGACATTGAAAATTGTATAAGGATTTTGAATCAATTAGAGCCAGAAACAAAATGGAAATATCTTTSAGGATTCAAGGAAAGCAAGGCCCGRTTCATACATCGAGCCAGCGTCGCGCCGAACCAAATAGTTGAATTTAGCACATGAACAACTCGACGTAATCAATTGAGTTCGGCACGACCGTAGAATGCGTGGCACGGCAGCGCGCGTCAGTAGTTGGATGCAGGCTAAAGAGGATACAACAAGAAAGACCCATCAAAAAAGGTATTGTTAAAATTTACATTTACTACAATGGTTAATCAAGGGAAAAGGAAAACAAACATTTTGTTTAAGGAAAAATTGAAACTACTTTGTGTTTTTAGCGATTTGTACTCAAAAGAATGTAGACCGGAGAAAAATCGAGATCAACCAATCAGATGACTACATTTACTCGTGTCCAGGCTTCCATTATGACAGGTCATATTATAACCAGTTTATCAACCTCGTTCCCAGGGCCATCACGGACTCCACAAAATGGCCGGTCGTCCAGCGATGACCCTGGCAAACACTGATTATCACGTGATCAAATAGTCCAAAATTCATGGACTATTTGATCACGTGTCAATCTATTCAAAAATGTGTTCGCAACGTAAACCCAACGTTTTTAATCGGGCTAGCTGTGGTGGGTCGACATTTTGTTTATCTGACTGAACAAAAACATTTTAACTTAATTGTTTATTTCATAATTTCCATTCAATCGGCAATATAAGTAAAAGGAGTAGTTTCAGTTCATTCTAGAAGTCCTCAGGGGTTCTTGGAAAGAGAATGCGGCTGTAGATTAAAGCGCCGAGTAGAAGACTTTCAAAGTCAACGCTTTCGCTAAAATACAGTAAATATATCGGCCGGGTTTAATTACTTACACCTTCGGCTGGCTTCTCAAAAGCATGCACGAGATAAAGAACACACAAAAAGACAACTGACGTGAATTTGAAGCAGTATTATTGCCTTTTGATCAATAAAACGGACATCAAACTCTTCGGAAAATTGGACGCATTCAAAATAACGGTCGAATTTGGTCGAACAAACCCCGATTGATAGCCGAACATATCTTAAAAATAAACATCCAATGGCAAGCGGTATAAGAATGACGTCTTTATCAGCCAATCACAAAGCGCCTTAGTTCAGTGTTTGCCAGGGTCATCGCTGGWCGACYRRYCATTTTGTGGAGTCCGTGATGGCCCTGGGAACGAGGTTGCCAGTTTATCAAGGATCTCAAAATTATGAAATGGTCCGATTTTGCTCAATCGCGCGCACTACGGGAAAAAGCATTTCTGGACGACTGTGTAAGAGCATGTATGAACCTATACCCTGACAGCAGGGTGTACTCGTGCCCTGAAGGTTTTTAAAAGTGCTGGCTTACTCAGTGCTTTTTCAAATGGAGCTCATTTAATTAAAACCTTTCACTCGTTCGTCTATAGGCCCACCCAACGAAACGAGATTTAGCTCTCTAGACTATACAATAGGGTTTGAAGACACGGTAAACATCACGCATGTCAATGCAAACGTGACTCAATCTGGCTAGGCAACGAGCTTGCGTAAAGCGGGCTATCAAACCTCATCGTTCACCCTGATAGTCTTTCATTATTTATACTTGTACTGTGAAACAAAGTAAAATATGGATGGACTAATTCTAATTGTAGAAATTTAAAGGTCAAGTATACCACAGTATCAAAATCAGACTGTTTGCAAAGGGTGTAGGTGATAGTTGGCGCCGTGGCAGCGATCTCAACAAGAATTTAGGTTATCCCGTTCTATAAAACCATGATCGCTTCAATCTTAAACTTCATTTAGGAATATTCCCGCGTGAATAGCATTGTTTTCTTTAATCCAGAAGGGACAGAATCCCTCATCAAATTGGAAAATTTAGGCTATGCAACTCAGAATCAGACAGACACGTTGTCAGCTACAAAGTATCGGTTTATATCTCTCCAAGGAAAATGAACTATTTGGTGCACGATACACCAACCTTTATGACCTAAACCAATGTCCTAGTATATGCTCTTACACAGACGAAAGTCTTGGAATAACAAAAAGCCTCGCCACAGTAACTTCTTGTATTAACTTTGCAGAATGATTTCATGTGGCAATGTAGTACGTACCTTGTATTTAGAAGTTGACGATATCTCAATAGAAGACTTTTTCCATGCATAACCTTGCTGCCCAGATCTCAACCACAACAACCTCTTCACGGAGAGATCATCAGTAATGTAAACCCTCAAGGACCCTACTGAACGACCATGCATACTGTACCAGAAGGTAAGACAACGTGCATCAGATGCCTTGTGCCATCTACTTGATAGAGTAGACGTGTAACCATGTCTTGCTGGCCARCTGGTCTCTAGGTAAGCATAGTATCCTAAAAGAAATGCCGACTGTCTATAACAACAATATCTGTAGAGAATATTATAGATAATAAACTGGCATTTGCGRGCTAAAGTTCTAGTCTTCTTAATTAAAAAGCCACTATATCTTATGTTGTTCACATACAGTTTTTGTAAACATATTGGCTATCAACATACACACGTCCAACTTTCCACTGCTAAGTTGTTCGAGACTTTATATACGATTTCACAGTTACACATGATAAAAAGACTTTTGCAGATAACTTGTCCAAAAATTGAAATTTATGTGCGACCTATTTTCTTATAGAAATAGAAAACTAGCACGATGCGTTGCCCATAGCTAGGAATGTCACTCAGCACTTAAACAGTAATGTATTTCAATTAGTAACTATTTCTTATCATCATTATTTACCACTTCCGGAAGTGTGGTCTCCCATTGGTCCGGTGTTTCGACTGGGAGTTTTTCCATGATGTCTCCTCCAGTGAAAGGTCACGGCCGTACTCCAACTGTTTTCCCACTGGCAGAAATCTTTTTCGAAGTTGCACTTTTCTTTGTCTTAAATGAAAGATGACAKCAAAATGCATAACTTTTTCAAATGATTCAAAAATAAGACGGTTGTCTTGTTATTGTATTACCTGTAGGGCAYGATACCATGTTACACATTCGTTTCTGTGTGTTGGCACCAATGCAGTCTTTTCCGCCATTTTTTGGTTTGGGCTCCATGCAAATGCGTTGGCGTTCTTGAATGCCATATCCGCAGTCCTTGTTACAAGGTTTCCATTTCCCCCATCTCGCCCACTGACCATCGATAGGAGCTATGAAATGAAGTAACAAACAAATCACTTTGAGTGTATAGAGTAAACGCTCAAAAGATTGTACCGTAAAATATGATAAAAATAATTTTACCGCACTTGTGTAAATTCTCGCGCACTGATTGGCTGATTAGAGTGTGTCAATAAGAGGGCATGCACGCTGTGTTGACACCATCACGTCTCGCRCGCGCACTCAATTGAAAGAATAGAATGATTTTCGCTAATTTTTAGACTAAAAATGTYGCAAAAAACAAATTGCGCAGTTTTTCGTTGCATGTCCTCTTAWTGACACACTCTTGACGTCATAARATGTTCAAAACTTTGCAGTGAGCCRACTSGMTGRGCCCGTGGGTYCACTTGAGTCAAGAGTGTGTCAATAAGAGGACATACAAYTCAAAATCGTGCGCAAATTTGTTAAACAGTAACTATTGGTATCTATTTACTGACAAATAAAAACTTATAGTTCCAACTTCTTTGATTATGATGTTTCACGGTACATGTGCGTTAACTCTAATTACATAAATGAATAAATACTTCATGCATGGAAAAGATAAATCTAAAAATACGGCACAGAATAAAACTTGAGTMAATAATTTAACGCAAAGAGAAACAAACGAGCAGAAGGCATAGTTAAGTCAGTTGAATCAATCAGAATAAAACAGATCAAYAAGCGAAGAACATACAATTGCACTCTTTGTGTGAGCATCGCCTTCTTTGAGTTTGAACTCTGCTTGAATCAGACCCTGGACATGATCCATCTTCGGAAGAAAAACAGATTCTTTGGCGGCTTTTGACACACCTAATGTTGCAAGAACTGAATCTACTCCATTCACTCCAACCTTCTGTTTTGCTTTCTGAAATACAATCGATATTTATTAATTGAATGAAAATCTCGTAGCAAAGCTAAGTCAGCATACTAACGTGAGCATTCATAGAGGTTGTTCATCTTCTGAATATCCATAGGACTAAAGCCATCAATGCGACCGAGAGGCATGCTWGGATTATGTAAGGCTCGTATCGTTGGGAGACCATTTCTTGAGAATGTCTTTTTCCCATAATGCATTATGCTTTGATAATCGTAAGTAAATCCAAGGTTGTCGACTTTATTAGCTTTGTATTTGTTAAACTGCGTATCCATCCCTGAGAAAACAACTCAATTTAACATATGAAGGTTCTTTCAACATAACGCCAAAGATGCTCGTACAGTACCAATTTTTACACATGCAGAAGTTAAATCTGAAATTTTGATTTGAGCACGCGTTGACCAATTTACGAGCCGTTATTGTCCTTACAAATAAAGTTGCTTTCCATACGCGAAATACAATCTGTTTTTACCTTCAACACTTATTCAAATACTCATACGACAAATGAACCAGTAGACCAATTGGATTAGTCTATTTGGTCACATGCATGARCCTTAATATCTGATATAAATATACTGTACCTCTATTTCTCTATTTCAAAAATTACAAAAAGCAAAACAAATTACGACTGAGAACCGTCCTACAAAGATTTGAATATAAAGCCAAGCTCGGTCCTCATTCCATGGATGTTTTGACAACAATTACAACCAATATATTTGATGTTCTGAATTAAAAAAAAATCGAGTCCGATAAGTCAATTCGTGAGTACTGTTTGAATTCCCGCTAATAGCTGGCCAGTGTCAAACTAGACGATTATTGATCAGATCGTGCCACAGTCGCGTATTTGATTCGGCGCGATGAAAGCACGACGCTGAATAAGTTTTTTGAGAAGCCCGAGTAATCATACGTTTAATACTTACTATCCTGAATGTTTTCCCACAAAATTTCTACGAATTTGTTGCGATCTGGACGACTTTGCTCATGCCAGAATCCAACACCATGCATCATTTCATGCATAATAATTCCCTTGGTGTTGCATCGTTTACCAAGAGATAACTTCTGAGCTCCTTTACGCCAGTAAATTCTCCCAATGTACGACCAACATCTGAAAAATAGTCCTTTACAATTACTACGTATACGAAGTGTTTCGTATACAGAATTTAGAATTTGCGTACGATGCCTTCAAGTTAAATGAATCTATTGCTATGTCGGTGGATAAGAAGCATAATAGAACAGGAACACAACAGCGAATTGACAACACGACAACACGACAGGAAAAAACATGAAAAATTGAGCAAAGATTTAAGTATAGGAAGGAAAATAACCCAAAAGGGATCRTAAAAGTGAAGTAAAAAAAGTTTTACGCCAATGCAACTCGTAAATAGGTACCCTTTGTCTTGTGTAAATTTCAACCAGTTTCTTTCGTTTGTTTTCTGGACGAATCTTATACAAGTGTGTCTGTGGAACTCTTTAATTGCTTCTAGAATGTTATCAACGTAGGCTTCTGTAATTGAAAAACAAATCAAAAAAATTAATGAATGAGAAGAATGGGCAAGAATGAAAAAGAATGGGTTTCAATAGATTCTTGCTTGGATGGACGAGTTTTASAAACAAATGGATACCAAAGGAACTAGCTCCGAGTCATTGGTTGACCAATGACAATGAAAAAGAGCAAACATTAGCGCTAAATCTGACGSTTCTTCTTGGAGTATGGTGTGGTTATATCGTAAAAGCAAGACAAAAATGTAGAAAGAGTTTTTAGATAAGCAATAAAAACAAGGTTGGTAAGGAAAGGAAAAGTGACAAAACTCTCACGATCATGATTGCCTAGTAATTGAATAACCCGCTTACGATCATGATTACCTAGTAATTGAATAACCC